TATTTGGCCTCACTTCTCACATAGATGAGCAGTGCACATTTTTAAAAAAAGAAAAATAAATTAAACAGATGACTTAGCTACTTTCCTGATAGTATCCCAGAAAAAATATATCTCCAAAAGGAATGCAAGTGTTTGATCCAAAGTCACTGGTTTCAATATAGAATTATAGGAAAAAAGGACTGGAAAAGACCACAAGAGGTTCTCTACTTCAGCCACCTACTCATCTCTTTTTAAAGCAAAGAATCCCATAGATCAGATCTCTGTGTTCTGCGAGTCAGGTCCTCTATGAAAAGGAAGTAGCATTGTAAAGCAACTTGTGTATTCCATGTATAAGGGGTGACATGAAAGAAAATGCCAAGGTGTTTACATGATCCCTGGTCGGTTATGATTACTGTGGGGGAAGGGTTGTGTGGAATACGTAATAATAGACTATAACAAATGAGTAGAGAGAAGGGTGAGTAAAGGTCCTGAAACAACCAGGTTGAACTTGAAGAGGGATTGTAAGACCCAGTACTGTCTTTTGCAGAGTATTCAGTCTTTGAGAGACTGAAGCTTTTGCTCTTATAATTGTATAAAGTTCCCCCATCTTGAAAACTGCTTCCAGTGTCAGATAGTATCATATTTTATTACAGTGTCATTTTCAGGTTACACTAACAACACAAAGGTAAAAGAAATATATGCCATGTCTCATTTGCTCTGTGCAAAGTCATTCAGGGGCATCTTCTACATCTGCTGATGTTCTTCAGTATGAGCAGCAGAATAATCTTGTGAGATAGAAATGTGCAGCTTATTTCTCAGCATTTTAAGCACCAGCATGACAGTAGTAGAGGAACCCCTCCAGGATGTGTTGATGAAAGTCACCACATTTAAGCAGATTAAGATGAACTGTTCCCAATAATTATTGATTACAATGAGGAATAACAAAACAGCAATTTTATTACTGATTTCTTACCAAGGAGGTCTGTTTTCTTCTGTATTGTTTCTTGTTAATACATAGTCTTTAATAAGAGCATCCAGAAAAAGGAATGTAGATTCCTAGTACTTCAGACACAAACCAAAGCATCCTTGAATGAGGGAAGATAATTAAGGAGAGGAATTCCACCTCCACAGACTGCTTCCCTTCTCCAGGAGTGCTGATTTTCTCTAAATTGCCAGAGCCAGTAGCAAATGAGAGGTGATGGGAATTACAGCCTGCAGACACAGAGACAAAGCAAGCAAAGCTTTAATTAGTGCATTTTGGGGTGGAGATGAATTTCCTGGGAATAAATGATTTGACTCAAGACATATGGAGCCTCTTAGAGGTGAATTGAAAAGCTTTTTACCTTCCAAGACCTGAACCCAGGGTGTTGCTTATGTCTGGTAAGAATGAGTGACATCACCATGACCTGAAACTCAAGGGGATACATAGTTCTTTAATTTACATTCGGATCTCATTTAATTCTGGAAGAATTACATTGATTTCAGTGCCATTTTTGCAAATATTCATTGGTTCAGTTGAAGGCAGAATTATCTAAAGTACACTCTCTCCATTACTTGAAGTGTTAATGATGAGAGCCACTGTTACAAAAGAGGCTTGACTTCAGTGTCTAACAGATAATTAAATGTATTTATTTACTGAGTGATTTGATTTGATTTGTATGCCACCCTTCCCAGCAAAGGCCCAGGACAGCTTACAGAAGAGTTCAAAATAACTTATAAAGCAAGCAAGCAAGTGAACAGACCAGAAGAAACAAAACCACTTATAAAAGCCAACAGAGTACTAAGATAACCTATAGAGCAAAACTCCCTAAGCAGTACCCCAGTTTAGCTTTGCCTGCTAATCACCTGCTCAAAGAGGAAGATGTCATAGCATTTCCTCAAGATGTCTAGGTTTGGGCTTTGACATGCCTAAAAGAGAAGGGAGTTCCAGAACAGCGGGCAACTACCAAAAACAATTTCTCAGATGTCTTTCCCAGGCAAACTTGGTGCACTGAAGGTACTAGTAGGAGGTTAATTTTGGATGACATTAGGGACCATCTTGGGGCATAAGGGAAAAGATGGTCCCTTAGGTATGTAGGACCCAGACTATTTGGGGCCTTATGGGTCAAAACCAGCTCCTTGAATTGCACCCAGGCACCTACTGGGAGCCAATGCAGAACAGGTCCAACTGGAGACCTATATGCCTCTTGCAGCCCTCAAAGGGTAGCATGCAGTTCATGAGCACCCACTTGGCCATCTTTCCCACCCACCCCTATTGCTTCTGTCTTGGTTACTGGGAGGGGGCTGGAGTGCCCAAAATGCAGGCAGCAAAGGGGGCTTGGCTGCCTGCACTGCAAGGGAGTGGTGTGTATAGCTGGGAGAGGGTGTCAGTTGTTGTGCACACAGTGGCAGGGAGCCAGACTGCCTGTGGTGCAGGAGGGGCTCACCATGTGGCACACATAGCTAGAGGGGAGGAATCAAGGCTGCCCGTGCTGTGCATAGGTAGGGTATGGGGTGACGGATAACCTGGTTCCCCCATCCACACAGTATACAACTCCCTGGTCTGTAGCCCCTGGCTGCCTGAAAGTTGAGCAGCCCTATTCTACCATATTGGAGTCATGTGCTCCTGGTGTCCCACCCCATCAGAAAGTCTACTGCCACATTTTAGATCAGCTGCAATTTCCAGACAGGCCTCAAGAGCATCCCCTCCCAGAGTGCATTGCAGTAGTAAAGCTGGAAGGTACAAAGATATGTATAACAGTGGCCAGATCTGAAACTGAAATGAAGGGTCACAGCTGCCTCACCAGTAGCAGGTGAACAGCACTTCTAGCTACCACTGCCACCTAGAGATCTACCTGGAATACCTGAAGGCTTTGAACCTGAATGAGCAAGGGAGGCTGAACCCTATCAATGATGAGCAGTCATCATTTATTACTGATTTCTTACCAAGGAGGTCTTCTGTATTGTTTCTTGTTAATACATAGTCTTGAATAAGAACATCCAGAAAAAGGAATGTAGATTCCTAGTACTTCAGACACAAGTCAGCAAACACCCATTTAATGACCTTCCCCAAAAAGAAGAAGTTGAAGCAGACTGATAGCCAGCTAGGGAATTAGCATCAAGACATGGTTTCTTGAGTAGGAGTTGGACAATTACAGACTGAAGAATGGCTGGCACTGTGCATTCCCAAAAGGAAGCATTGACAACCTGAGCCAGCAATGATCCCAGCTTCCCTTGAATGGCCGTTACCTCGAATAACTCCCGTTCATAGCTGGTCACCCACATTCTCTATGTCAGTGGGCAACAGCAGCTGAAATCATTTGTGTAAACCAGACAAGACAGAGTCTCCTCAACCCCAAACTCTTGACTCTGCAGCAAAATGATTTTCCAATTAATTTGCTTTCAAATGTTTATGCGGCTTTTTGTTGTTCACCCCTTATTTCCTTTCTGTCTCGCTCAGTCTATCTGCCTGTCTTTCATCCAGGGGTGCATGCACATATGCATTGTGCTAGGACCTTAAACAATGCCTTTTATATTTATCATAAATTTCTTCAACTCCCTGTTAAAAGAAAACTTAAGTGAGATGAAGAGAACTCTTTCTACCAACTTAAAGTTCCTCTGTTTAAACTGACACACCCCAAAATGTAACCTCTTTATCTTGGAATGTAACTATAGGCCTAAACTGACTGATTGGTTTAAATTAAGTTATTCCTATGCTTAAAATTGGTCCCCATTGTGCTAGGCACTGTACAGAGAGAACAAAAATAGGATTTGTGCTTTGCATGAACAACAATGGCAACTTTCCTTAATACCAAAAAATGTTTCAGCTTTTCAGAAACAAAGCTGCAACCATGGGAGACTGGTGCCACCTGGGGGGGGGGGTGGCATGTGTCCCCCCTCCCCCTGACCAGTCTCACTGCCTGATGGGAGGTCCCCCATGGCAGATCTCACTGCTCGGGAGTTCCCATGCAGCCAGTCACTGCAGCTGTTTCCAGGAGTGGCTGTGGCCACTTCTAGGAGCAGCTGCAGCAATCGGCCGGTGCTTTCGGGGGGGCACTGGCACTCCCACTTGCCTCCCCTGCCCATCGCCTAAGCGGCAAGCATGGCTGATCAAGGGGTGCACTAGCACTCTCAGGGGGTGCACATGAACCCCCGTGCACCTCCTTATGTGTCGCCACTGGCTGCAACATTGCTAAGTTTTCAGCTTTGGTGATGGCTGACTCAACACCAACATGCTCAGGGCATTAGATTTATTTGTGATCATGAGTTTGCACATGATGTGCATGTGCATTTGATCCTGTCCCTCTGTCCTCTACACACTTATCCCTTCACTGAGAAAAGCCACAAATCTGCGGTTTACGAGTGTCCTGCTCTTATAAATCTTAAATATCAGCCTTGCTCACAAGAAGATGATAGATCAGCAGAACAGAGGGAGGCAGTATGTGATATTTATTCCCATCTGTTGTTTCTTGTTTTAGATATATCTCAGGGTTCTCTTATAAAGGGAGGTAAGTGTGGCAACAGGCAATGAGCAAGTGAGCCCCTTATAAAATATCATTCTTATGGCTCTATGTGGGCATGTCCACCCAGTGAACTTACTGCATTCCAGAGCTGCATCCTCAAGTACACTAGGCTGCTCCAGGAAAGAGTCTTCCTAAACCGGAAGGAAGGTACCCACATCCACAGCACATTTCAGACATGCTGTTTAGCACTACTGAGTGGCAGCGTTGACTAACACTCCCTGAGTGCCTTGCTGACACCATTACACTGATTCCCACTCTGTGCTTGAGAATACCACTCTGCAGCACAGAACATTTACTATGCAGACAGAGCCCCTAATACTCTGCATCTTTCAGACTTTGTTGGGGTGGGTTTTGTTTTTTTGTTTTTTAGGGGGGTTTTGTCCTCCAGGTTGATTTGTTTTGATAAATTCATATGGTGAAGTCATGTTAAGCATTGATGTTTTATCTTATGGCAACATGTAAATGTTACAAACTTTTGAGCTACAGGAGGAAATGGGCTAATTTTAGATTTGTTCCTAGCCCTCTCCATGCGAATGGTGTCGCTGTGAGCCCAGCAATGAAGTTCACTGTGTTGTAGCAGACTGCGCAGTTCCTGAATGTGTCAACCCAGTCTATGAACCAGAACAGTGTTGTCCTGTCTGCAAAAATGGTAAGAATGTGTTGCACTGGCTTTAAAGAAGAGATAAAAGCAAATTACTATAAAAATGTTGTAACCTGTACAGAGCCTTTACTGGTACCCAAACAGATCAACATTTAACCTGTTGCTTCTCACTGTGCGTGAGCTTTAGTTGTCAACTTTTGTGGCAGTAAAAGGCATGGTCCTGCACATGAATCATCTCATTGAAATCAAGGGTCTATACACCTACAGAAGGGTTTAAGGACTGGGCTCCAAAATTAACAATGATCAGTTACACTGAGAATTTCAGTTCTCCAGGGGCTAAATCCTTGTTCCCATAATTACTGTCAGTTGGTATCAATTGGACTAATTTGTATGAGTCCCTAAATTGAGACAGCAATGATTAACATTTGTCCAAGGTCAGCAGGTCTCATTGAAGTCAATAGCAAAACTCCCATTGGTTTTAGGGAAAGCATGGCCATGCCCACGATGCTTTAATTTATTATTTGCCAAAAGTCAGTGTTTATAGTGAGCATTATTTTCCAGTTGAAACTGTTTGGCAAAATCAGGTTGAATTTGTGGTAGTTTTGAGGAAACTACATTTTTCAGTAAATCAGCTATTCTCAGAAAAAGGTCTCCTATCTCTGCATGTGTTTTTTGCCACAACAAAACCGTATCAGAACAAGAATCTCCTAACTCAGACAAGACATCAGGATAAATTCAGAGTTGAATCTAAGTTAGGG